ACAGGCAGTATGTGTGTATTTTTATCAACCATAGATGTACAAATGACTTTACTCAAATTTTTACGGGGCTTACTCCAAATTATTTCTGCAATAATAATCATTCACACTGTCTGTTTTACTATTTCAGTAGGACTATTTAAAATGTACGAGTATGTATTTTTGGTATGCATCCATCAGTGAGTTCTCTAACATTTTCAGTAGCATTGTACTTAGTAGTACCAAAAGTAAGCAGCTATAATACACTTTAAAAAGTACATAACTTCTCTGAATGACTGAATCACAATGAGTGACCCTTACTTCTCTATATGTACATGGTGAGGTCAGGCTTCCTATAGCTCAAGCTTTCAAATTTTCGATTAAAAAAAGACATGATTTTTTGTTAGTGACAGGAATACCTTCCAATCATAGAGGTCCATAGCAATCAACAAGCACTGGAAACATTTCCAAACTTACAACAGTTGTAAAAGATGCTTGAGTTTCTCAATATAATGTTGTAAAAATGGTGCAGAAACACAATATTAACCTACCTATCAAGTAAAATTTGCATTATGTGGGAAAATATGGGATTATGTTCCTACTTAACATTTGTAGCACATTGTGTTTGTGTAGTATATTGAATAACATTTGGGACATTGTGTTTGTGTTGTATTTATATCACTTTTATGCAATGTAAAATGATTTCACTGTAATGTTGATTTCACTGTAGAATTAATAAGCACAATTGTTGTGTAAATTAAATAACAGTCAGACCACTTTTGTACAAAAGTCAAATTATGAGGATTCACTGTCACTGTAGCTACAGAATCTAGCATTTCCGCAATGATTAACATTATTTTTAACTTGTTGTGTTTGTGTAACACAAATAAATCTAACAAGAGAGTAAAATCAGATCTACTCTAGTTATTACTATCATTGTTCATTAGTCTTTACATACAATTAACAGGCATATTATATATTAATATAATATTAAATTTCATTCATGTAAAATTTCATGTTTGTTCCTTCTTGTTATCACCTCTGATCATATCTATTATTATTAACTCTTTGAGTCCTGTATTAACAAGAGTAAACATCAAAGTTTCGTGAATTGCCAGCAGTAGCATAGTTTATTAAAAGCATAGATTGTTATTATTCATAACATTTTGTAAAGAAAAAAATACAACAAAAGTACTGAAGAAGGTGGAAAGCAGTAGGAGCAGTGCATAATGGGTGAAATGGCAGTGTCAGTGCTAATGGTGTCTGTTGTGTTCTTGTTGAGTGTCAGTCAAGGTATTAGTCAATGTCCACCTTCCTCAGGTAAGATACTTGATGTGAATAATAACAACTGTATAGGTTTTTATAGGTATCTACCTGATGCATGATGGAAACTGCTATACTAATGGATCATATTTTTGGGATAGTAGTGTCAATGCAGCTAATGAAGCTATATCATGTGTGTTACCTGGTACTAGTCTAACTACTGGTCAGTGGGTTAGAGTTGCTGATCCTGATGATCCTGTTGACTGTAAGTCTGTAACAATAATAGTGCCAGTGATCCTTTTCTTTGTACTAATCATACTAATGTCACTTCACCCGAAGATGCTAATCTCAGCCTTTACCTTGCTCAGGGACTACCAGCAGCTCAAGAAGGCTGGTACAAGTGTTGTCTACCCACTGATTGTTCAGATCCTAGCACTAACATCATCTTTGCTAATATATTCAGTAAAGGGGACTATAATCAGTTACTAATGTAATAATTTTTATTTGTAGGATATGCAGAGATAGAATCATTTACTGTTGCTGATCTTCCTTCTGATATGACAGTATATCCTCAGGAATACAAACTGAATTGTACTAAAATTGGATTCTTTCAGTATGATATTAGTATGAGCATTGGTAATACTGCACTGGCTAGTTATACTGCTTGTGATGATCGAGTTAGTAATTGTCCTGGCACTGTGTTAGTTATTAATACCAACACAATAAGGTACACTGTTAATATCACATGGGATGGAATGACTGTCAGTAGTGGATCAATCAGTCAATCAACCACTGGAGATCAAATGTATCAGTGCCGGGTAGTGGATCATCCTAGTGGTCATGCAAATAGAATACGTAATGCAACTATAAAAGGTGATGTCAATTAATGCTGATCATCAAAAATAATTATTTTTTATTGTAGTTCCTGCAACTGCTCCCTCTTCTCTTACTGTGGTCAACAAGACAATTACCACTATCACTGTCAGTTGGACTACACTTGATTCATCTGATGCTGACGGATATGTAGTCAATGTCAGTAATTTCACAGACACTGTCCAGACAGTACAGGTGGAGGGAAGTAATTATAATATAATTACACTGAATGGACTGAGAGCAATAACCACTTATAGCATCACAGTCAGAGCCTATCAACAAATACTGGGACCTGCTAGTACAATCAGTGTCTTCACTCATTGTCAGGAAGAAGGTAATTTTTATTGCAATGTAAATTATTAGGAATGCAAGTATTGATTTTAGGTATATATTTAACACATAATGGAAACTGTTATCTTAATGGATCATACTTTTGGGATAGTAGAGTCAATTCAGTTACTGAAGCTATATCATGTGTGTTACCTGGTACTAGACTAACTAATAGTCAATGGGCTAGAGCTGCTGATCCTGATCATCCTGTTGACTGTAACAGTAATAGTGCCAGTGATCCTTTTCGTTGTACTTATGTCACTTCACCTGATGCTACTCTCAAACTTTATCTTGTTCAGGGACTATTAGCAGATCAAGAAGGCTGGTACAAGTGTTGTCTACCCACTGATTGTTCAGATCCTAACACTAACATCATCTTTGCTAATATATTCAGTAAGAGGAGACTATAATGAGCTACTGATGTAGTAATTTTTAATTTGTAGGATATTCAGAGATAGAATCATTTGCTGCTGCTGATCTTCCTTTTGATATGAAAATATATCCTCAGAAATACAAACTGAATTGTACTAAAATTGGACATTGGTACTATGATATTAGTATGAGCATTGGTAGCACTGCACTGGCTAGTTTCACTGACTGTGATGATCGATATCGTAGTTGTCATGGTACTGTGTTAGATAGTAATACCAACACAATAAGATATACTGCTACTATCACGTGGGATGGATTGACTGTCAGTAGTGGATCAATCAATCAATCAGCCACTGGAGATCAAATCTATCAGTGCAGGGTAGTTGATCATCCTGATAGTATTGCTCACAGAATACGTATTGTAACTATAAAAGGTAACAAACTGATTTGGTCTTAAAATATTGTATATTTCTTAGTTCCAGCAACTGCTCCCTCTTCTCTTACTGAGGTGAACAAGACAACTACTACTATCACTGTCAGTTGGACAGCACTCGATTCATCTGATGCTGATGGATATGTAGTCAATGTCACTAGTGACACAGACACTGTGCAGACAGTACAGGTGGAGGGAAGTAGTAATAATACAATCACACTAAATTGGCTGAATATGGAAACAACTTATAGTATTACAGTCAGAGCCTATCAACAATTACTGGGACCTGCTAGTACAATCAGTGTACAGACCTTACCAGGTATTGCTACTGTGCTGCACCTTTTAATGTGCTTGTAACATGGTTGATGTATTTCTAGTTATTAGTTTAATTGATTGGACACTAGTTTCATCTATCACGCAACTAAATAGCACTCAATATCGTATTGATTGTCTCACAACTACTGATATAAATCCTTCAACTGATGTTTACTGGTTAGTGAATGGAGTGATTAAGAGTAACTCGATGCATTCATCAATTGATGTCCTGACATACAACAACACACTAATGGTATATCCTGATCCACTGGGAGTGTCAGTTAATGTTACCTGTATAGCAATGATTGAAGGAGTCAACTACAGTCAATCTGTCATATTACATGGTATGTTTATACTTTAATCAGTAGTAGATTTCTTTGTCTCTTTTTTAGCTCCTAGTGGTCCTCCAAATAATGTGAGGGGCTTCATATTAAATTTTATCAGTATGAAAGTGAACTGGATTACTTCACCGGAGACTAATGGATATGTGATTGAGTATGCTACTGGAGGTGTAACCAGGAATGTAGTGTCTACCACCAGTGAAGATGGAATTATAATAACAAATCTCTCACCAATGAGTACCTATACCATCAGTGTATACTCATATATAGATCTTCCTTCAGTTAATAGTACAGTAACAGTGTTAAGACTTGATGGTGAGTTATTATCATTGAAAGAGAAAAATTTATGCTTGTTTTAGTTCCTAGTCCAGTAACTAGTCTCTCAGTATCTAATGTCTCAACCACTAGTATTACAGTGAACTGGACTATTCCCAGTAGTGACAACTATGTAACATACTACACCATCTTTTATACTCCATCTTGTTCCCAGTTATCATCAGTGAATGAGACAGTCTCAGTTGCTCCTCATCAGCCCCCTACAACATACAGTTATACATTATTAGGCCTGCGTAGTGGCATGAACTATACCATCACATTGAGAGCTGGTAATGTACTTGGAAGTTTTAAATTAAACACAATCACCATAGAAACTACAAGAATGAACCGTATGTAATTTTTAAAATTATCATTTTTATTGTAATTTTTAGTTCCTAGTGGTTGGCCATCATTAATTCACATTTTACCAGTTAATTCAACTGCTAATTATGTCACTTGGAATGAGGTCAATTGTTCTCAGCATAATGGTCTAATCACAGGCTATACAGTGATTATCAGTAACAGTAGTATCACATACAACTTCACCAGTACTCAGAGATATATTATATTGAATGATCTAGTATTTGGTACTGAATATAACTTCAGTGTAGCTGCTGTCAATTCTGTTGGAAGAGGTCCCTTCAGTGATCCTATTGCAGTAGAAATTGGAATAGGTATGTAATTATTATACTATATCAGTTCTGTGAGAATGCTTTTCTTATTTATAGTACCTGGTCCAGTTGGTTCAGTATCCAGTATCATGGACACTACATGGGCTGTTATCTCATGGAGTGTACCTAGTTATATTCCATCAGACTATCCCATCACATATGAGATGGGGTATCATGTCTTATTGTCTGACAACTGTACAATGGCAGAAAGTACTAGTTTTAATTTTCAAGCTTTTAAGTTCTTTAGTAGCCTCAGTACATTTACTAACATTACTGGTCTTAACAAAAGCACTTGCTATATTTTTGGTGTACGTGCATATACTGTTAAAGGGCATGGGGACTGGAAACTTATTACTAATGAGACATTGGAATTTCCTTCTTTTCCAACAGTTACAATCACATATACTATAACTTCAACACCAGGTATTGAAATCATTACTCTATAATTTATTACAATTACTTTATTTTAGTTATTACTACTACTGATGGTAATATTGCTGTTATTGCAATGAGTGCACTTGGTGTCATGCTTATTATAATAACTTTCAGCATTGTTATCATTATCTGTTTAATTATTCGGTATGTTAAAACTTTTAATAACAGTACATTAATATTTCATGTTTTTAGCATTAAATCTATGTCTCGTAAATGCGCAAGGTAAATTAATATCACTCAGTGCTGTATTAGATTTATAGTGTATGTGCATACAATAGATCTGATGATGATATTGCAATGCAAGTATGTGAGTTATACAAGGCTAGAATAAGTGAAGAGAACATAGATCAAGTCTATGATGAATGTCAAATGTCACCTGATCCTATTTATGAGACGTTGACACAATGACCTTCTTAAAAGTGTGTGCATGATCACTATTTCGTCATTCATTCTGTCATTAATTTTATTTAACAGCTAAATAGACACACAAACATGCATTCATGCGTCATGATGTGTGTACTAACAGTTAATGTAGTACAAGCACATCCAGTTGACATATTATTGATTCAGATGTGAAGAGAAGCATAACTGAGAATTTTACAAAACCATCACCCTGACACATTTAAGAATTGTACAATGCACAGATGCTTTCGGCATGGGTATTGATTATAAGGATGTGAGGTGCATCATCCACTATGGTGTTCCTAAAGACAAAGAAATGCATGTCTATCCAACAGTTTGGAAAAGGAGCTAAAAGTACTATGTGACTTTAGAAATGAATGTATGTGTGGTATTCTACATGCCTACTTGCCTAGTGTGAACAATGAACAGTCAAGTAACTTCAACATCAGGTTTATTAAATCTCTATCTGTGTATTAAATCTCTCTAAAGGCCCCCATACACTAAGCAACATGTTGCTTAGTGTATGGGGGCCTTAATCTATATCTATGGCTATATGCAGTTAATTACCTAGCCAGATCACGTGATATGAGTCTGCTTTCTTCCACATGGTGGAAGACTCGGAAGGCTCGAAGCATTGTAATGTCGAAGAAGTGATGTCTTCAGCCTCTACGTACGTGAAAGGGCTTTCTTTTGAGCTACTGACGATCCGCGTACTAAGAAGGCACTCGTTTATTATCCAACATTGTGGAAAGTCAGGAGATCGAGGAATCGATTTTAGGGGTCAATGGATTCTACCAGACAATAAACTCTCAGTCATTGGTAAGCATGCAAATATATATAATGTCAGAATATTGGTATTTATAGCTTCAAAGTTCATTTTCTTGTTAATTTTCATATGCCATAGCATAGAATAGTATTTTCTCAATTAAAGCATTCTAAAAAGTAATTGATTGAAGAAAATTTGGAGCTATACATACACAAATTAATTAATGAAATTAGTTATTTAAATACCATAGGTTGGGTTGTATTTGCGGCTGCTAATATTTGCGATTTTTCCCACGACTAGCAATTACCATAGATGCCAGATGTGATTTTAATTAAAAAGGTGGGATATTGAAGCAACGCTTACTGTGTTCTTGACTGCAATATGCCTTTAGAACTGAGATTGAAGTATGTCACTATCAGGATAAATATGGCAGTGTACCAATGGCTTAGTAAAGGATGATTAGTTTAAGAATCTGCTGCACATTGTGCCAAATCTGTTTACTCATAGTGACACTCATTCTTTGTTCTACTTGAAATAAGCATGACATAATGGTAGAGATGAAAGTAATATTCGAAAATTATTCTAGTACCCTTTTTTGTTTTTACTATTCAAATGAAGAAATTAGTATTGAAATACACCACTTAGTTTTGCTCCTGTGCAAATGAAATAGGTGTGGCTATTGAGCATGCTGCTAACTAGAGAGAAAATGACTAATGTTTTTAGTAGGAACCATTTGGGAATTTTTTAACTCACTGTTATACATATTGATGGCAAAAAGTAGTGTAAGCTCAAGCTGGCATGCTCTATAGGTATCACTTGGAGCATAACCATATAAAAACTCATCATAAAGCATTTAACGAGAGTAGTGGTGATGAAAAGCAGGCTAGTATATTCCCATCACTTCAGATACAAAAGACGAAACTTGTTCTATTTCACCCTTCAAGGAGATCACTTTTTAAGGATTTTATTGCGAGAGATTTTATTACCACTTTGATGTTCTGAAAGACAAGGATTATCAAGTTGATGGGGTTTGTAGAACCTGCTATTTTTTCCTTCAAGGATTTACATCACAAGAAAGAAGTATATGTATTCTTGCTCTCAATGTTGAACTGAAGACCCCTTCTCTCATCACAGAATACAGCCATTATTTCTGATATTTGGACCTGAGGCCATATTCACTATCCTAATGAATAGGAACTAGTGAGTAGTGTACCACTAAAGCATTGTACTACTAATGCAGGAAATTTGAGAAAGACACACTGGAGTCACCATTGCAAAATGGCTGAGAGCAGATACAAAAGAGTGAGGTACCATATATCGTTTTAGTTTTTGCGGTAAAAATATGTTTGCGAATTTTGTGTTTTTTTCTCCGTGGCAAAAATTTTCCTCAGTGGAATTCTGCATCTCCATTGCCACATGGCACAGTCTGCAATGTAAACCAGGCTTGAGGTATGTGCTTGGAGCATGATCTCAGCCTAACAATTCCACAGCACAGTTCATGTTTTCTGCATTATCATGCACAATACCACTCATATGTGATTTGTTTATATCGTATGCCAGTTTATTTTCGCAGTAAAAATTTTTACGACTCTTGCATTTCTAAAATTAATTTTTGCTAATAGCTTTGACTATCTATCTCATTAGTCATTACACTCCAACCCTTTGGTAACAGCTACATGTAGCCATGTAGGATGGACTATATTTTTATTTCTTATTAAAAACTAGTTCTACATGTATATAGTTACCATGATAATTACTAAAACTAACTAAAACCACAGCTGTATGTAGACAGTTGAATGGTAGGGCTACCACAGCTGTATGTAGACAATGGAAAAGAGGGCTAGTCACCCAAATGAGGCTGGTTCCTGAAGTGTTACATTTTAACCTCAAATACTTTTCAATGCATGTATTATAAATACAACATTATAATCAATAATTGTCATTTGTCCAAGTTTTTAGCGAAAAGACCAACATATTCACTTTTTTGGGCTTCAAAAAAGCTCTGGTAGAAGCGACAATGTTATTACTTGTCTCTTTAATGGGGAGCTGATTGCAGGGACACATATTTCTTTGCCAATTCTTGTAATTTAGGGTAAATACCAGTATTAGCTTTCCAGTTTCCACCACTCCGAAACAGCGACATCACTTCCAATCTTTAGCTTGGGACAGAGCAGGTAAGCCTGCAACTCTTTCTTAACCAATTCTTCCTGTGACAGTGGCTGTAGTCTTGATGCAGTTGCCTCATCTGATCTTTGTTTTTTATCTTCACTGACAGGAATGTTGTTGACCATTATTGCATTCACTTTTATCTTGAGATTATGTGTTTATTGAAATGTAGTTTGTGTCAAGTAATGCCTGAAAAGATGACAATGAATGATAGTGTGTGGCAGCAAGGGAAAATGTTGGTGAATCTAAAATTTTAAATAAAAACTAGTACATCTTGACACTACTAAATACCTTTTTTGATGAAACAGTATTTCTCTGCATCCTACTTTTTGATAGTAACAACTCTTAGAAATAGCTATATGAGTGAATCAATTTCACTGCAAAGAAATGGTTTTTAATAACCTTTCTAATGATTTTTTTAATTATAAGGACAGTAGTATAATGTATACCTTTTGATATTTTAAAAGATTTAAGAGATATTACTGATGCTAACCTGTATTTAAGGTTTTTTGTGCTCAGTAAGAGAGGCCAATAAACAGTTTTAGAAATTTGTTTTAGAAATTCTAGTTTGCTAAACACTGGAGAAACCGGATTTCTTCTGGGGGGCTGTATTATTATAAGTTCTTGCTCTTGAGCTGCCAAGTATGGCCGGAGTACGCCAAGATGGAAATGAAGAATAAACAGATCAATCATGGATGAAACATATGGGACAGAGCAGTGACCCATTTACAATGTACCTCGTATCAATCAGTTTTGGTTCAAATATGTGTACATGGAGGAGATGCTTGGAAACATTCCAAATGCAATAAGAGTTTTTGAAAGATGGATGGATTGGGAACCAGAGGAACAGGCATGGCTTTGATATATTAAAATGGAGCTTTGTTATAAAGAGGTTGATAAGGCAGAATTGATTCACAAACGATTTATTTCAAACAAAGAGTTGGATTTGTTGTTCTAGGTTTGAAACTTATGAGATCATTAATTTTAGAATTAAAATACATTGTCTTGAGATTCAATATTTTACTTAAAAGGCGTACATGCATGGCTCATTGATAATTTGAGAATTATTTTTGAAAGGTTTCCTGAAGATCAATTGTTGGATGAAAGCCTATATCATAAGTTTCTTTGTTGGAGCAATGTCTGCACAATGGTATTCAGTTTTGCCACGACCACCAGATATTATATTGGAGCATAATTGCTAGCTACTTCCAATCTAATTGCCAATTTTTCCATTCCAAGGGAGCAGGATGCATCACCGAAAGTTAATACTTATATCGCTCTACATTATGGTCAGGTGATAAAACTACAGTCGTAATCAATAAGATTAGAGAATATTTGCTTTGATGGTGATCATTCAGATCCCCTGTTATCAGTGCATTAGTTTGTTCCTGTTTATATTATATATATATTTATGATCTTCAAATTTCCTTTCTAACAATATGATTTTAAATTAATCTCATTGTCAAAAGAAAGCATTCTTTATTTTTGAACTACATGTATACTGATAGGTCAATGCAAAAATCAGGAACCAAAAGCGTCACCCTCTCAAGTACGTGAATTAGAAGCTATTGTTAATGAGTTCTCATCTGGATCCCTCATAACTGGTGTATTAGTCAGCCAATCAGGGTTTGTCTATAATTATTTATAATTGTATTTTAATTTTGTCAGCCATTTTTCACGACAAAAGTGAGCTTCTTTTAATAGCTATCATTATAAACACTCTTGCTTATGTAGCATCTATGCATTGCGATGTTTAAGATTTTAATTTTTGGTTCATTTGATCCTTTTTCATAAAAATGAACATTCCTACTAGAAAAGACTTTCTTCTACTGCATTGCCTTTATTGCGTGGCATATTCTTTAAAAAACATTTGTATGTTACTGAATATGTTTTTTAAAATGGCAGAATCTCCTTTATATCCTCTTATAGTATAATAGATTTCAATTATTGTTTAGACAGAGCAACATACAGTATATGGATCACACTCCAAATCAACTCCATTTATTTCCACTACCTATATTTGTATTCACTGAGACAAGAAGAGAACTTTTATGATTAAAATTTAATTTTCATTACACTTTGCTTAATGTGATACTATCACATGTACAAATTTTTGGAAGTGAATAGAAAGATCTTGGGGATCCTTTATAAAGATTGTCCAAAACTTTCTATCAGGTTTGGTTAAGTACTTGTGCAGTAGACAACAGACAACATGGATTAACTCAAGCTCATTATTATGTCTACAATCTTGTGCGTCAACCCTTCCATTCAGAACAGATGATGCAGTCCAGAAAAATTCCAAGAATAAATGTAATGATTACCTATATTAAGTATGCTTTTGTGTTTGTTTCACGCGAACTTTAATTGTCGAAATCCAAAGTGCAAAATGTTTTTAGTGGTAATGCTGCTTAATGTCACTAAGTTGTCATATAGAACAACCTTTCCAGGCCTGTTGTGGTATACACTGTGCTTCTGCATTTCTGTTACTTGTGCAAAGTATACTAATTAGTAGTGCATTGACATGACCTTTTGGAGATAAAAAGGTTGCACAAAAATATGCATTGGATTTGGTAGTGTCAAGAATATGAGTGTACACTGAGTGTATTCAAGTATGCATTGGGTAAGATTTGTAAGCCACAGGCTGTCGACTTCAACTTGTGTATGAGCATGGTTTGATTACGTGTGGTTATTGGAATCCAATGTAAGCCTGGATTCAACAAGAAATTTAGTTGAACATGCAATTGCCAATGTATTTCCACTGCAAGAGAAGAGATATTGGCAACGATACATCTATTTATGGATTAATTATGCTCTTTATGAAGAGTTAGTTGCCAATAATATTGATTGAACTCGAGAAGTTTATAAGTCTTGTCTAAATAATTATTATTCCTCACACTCAATTCACTTTTGCTAAAGTGTGGCTGCTGTATGCCCAATTTGAAATTCGACAGAAGGAGTTGGCTACTGCAAGGAAAGTCTTGTGGACAGCCATTGGTAAATGTCCAAAGCCAAAGCTCTTCAAAGGTTACTTAGAGTTAGAGCTTCAATTGCGTGAGTTTAATCATTGTCATAAGATATTTCAGAAATATTTGGAATATGATCCTGTTATTTCAATTACATGGATAAAGTATGCAGAGTTAGAGGCCTTATTGGGAGATGTGGAACGTTCTCCAGCCATTTATAACTTTGCTATTAATCAACCACTGATGGACATGCCTGAAGTATTGTGGAAATCATTTATTGACTTTGAAACAGAGCAAGGAGAATAGGATTTTACATGTGATCTGTACAGCCGTATCCTGGATTGAACACAGCATGTAAAAGTGTGGTTAAGTTTTGCCAAGTTTGAAGCTTCCTTGGTTTCTGGAGATGCAGCGAAAAACTCACGTAGTGTTTGTAGCCGTGCTGATGAGGCGCTGAAACTGACAAACTCCAGAGATGAGAGAGTAATGCTATTAGAAGCTTGGCTGGAATTTGAGCGTGAATCTGGAGATGAAGAAAGTTTGGAAAAGGTGAAACAGAAGCTACCAAAGAAAGTAAAGAAGAGACGCAAGGTTTATCGAGATGATGGCTCTGAAGGAGGTTGGGAAGAATATTGGGACTATGTATTCCCTGATGATTCTTCAGCCTCTTCTAACTTGAGACTTCTTCAAGTAGCTCGATTGTGGAAACAGAAGGGGCAGTCTGACACTGAATCAGAAGATGAGGATGATGATGAGACATGATGCTCTAGACTTTGTCAGTGATTAATTATTACTGCCGTAAGACATGATACAACCTTATCAGTAAAATAATAATTATTGTTGTAAGACATGTATGATTATTAATTAATTTTTGATAAAATATTATAGGTCCACATGACAGGGAGGGTTGAATTTACGCATCATTGATCTCAAGTTGTTCCTATCTTGATCCATTTGTGGGACTTTTTTATAATTCTCTCGGCTGATGTAGAGGGAAATGTACATATTCAAGAAAGATTTTATGAGGCAATGGAAAGGTTGATCCACTAATTATATCGCTTGGTACTTGATTCAGACGAAATTGCATGAACAGGTATGTCTCCAAGACATGATTGCAGACCCGACTGTTTTTGTAGTAGTCACTGTAATATTAAGAAGGCATAACATATACAGCAAACAATTTCAAGAGACTTACTAGTTCCCTTTTCAATGCAATATTTTCCATTGTTTGGGCTCCCTTTTGATCCCCAAGGGTCCTTATTTGTGCATTGATGTGAGAAACTTCCATCTCCAGGATTAGAATTCTATCCAACTAAATCAACAACAAGAATAAAGTTAAAACACAATATTTTGTAGTGATACCAATACTTTCAATACGAGCTTTCAATATACTTAAAATATGAGCCTGCGATTGCCAATGTACCTCCACTTTTAGAGAAGACATATTGGCAAAGATACATCTATTTATGGATTGATTATTCACTTTATGAAGAGTTAGTTGCCAATGATAAGGATCAAACTTGGTATAAGTCTTGACTGAATTTTATTCCTCATTCTCAATTCACTGTTGCTTAAATATGTCCAATATTGCCTTAGCTATGTTGCCTCTAAACACAAAATACACAAGGCAGAATGAAAATATATTTACTTGCTGCATCTGGATTGCCAACATCCAAGCTAATGGATTTCCATAATTTTTTAGCAGTATCAAAATTGTTGGGATGAATTAAAAAAGTCATTGTACCACTTGATTCTCCAATATAGAACGGGCATCGCTACTGTATGCCCCATTTGAACGTTGACAGAAGGAGTTGGCTACTGCAAGGAAAGTATTGGGGACGGCCATTGGGGAATGTCCAAAGCCGAAGCTCTTAGTGTGGTTGAGTTTTTGCCAAGTTCAAAATGTCCTTGATTGCATAGGATACAGCAAAGCACTCGTCCCTTCATTTAAGCCACATACTAATATTGCCAATAAGCCATCTATATAACAATATCATTAGAAGGGAGAGTATCAATATCTGAAGAAAATGAGGAAGAAAGGTCGCTGTCACATGGAGTTGCCATTACTTAAATATTGCAAATATTGTATAATCTTTCTGAAAAGGGAAATTTTAGTGTCAGTGTTTATAGTCAGTATTTTAGTCTGTTCTGTGTTTTAGTAATGTCTACAATTATGAAAGTTTGAGAGCAGGAATCAGACTATATGTGCAATAAGTAGATCTGATACATGGACAGCATACTGTATAGTGCAAATGAACTTACACAGTATTCTTATATATTTGTGTCAGAAATTGGTCTTTGCTAAATGCTGGAGAAACTGGATCCCTTCTGGCAGGCTATATTATTATAAGTTCTTCTGGCACTTCAGCTGCCAAGAATGGCTGAAGTACGCCAAGACGGAATAATAAATAAGCAGATTAATCATGGACGAAACATATGGGACAGAGCAGTCACCCTTTTACCTCATATCAATCAATTTTGTTTCAAATACCGTATAGCCAAAAATTTTCGAGGCTTAAAATTTCGTGATTTATGAAAATTATGGGTAAATTTTAAATTCCGTGAAAAATATTTTCATGATTTTTTATTTTAATAATAATTTAACACGCCCATTTTAATTAAAACATGGCGGATGCAACGTTTGAGATGGACTCTTGTGTCAGGGGGCACCACGTCTACAAGACAGTGTGGACACCAGTGATTGGGGAGATTTTAAGCTGTGAAAGGGAAGAGGACAACTTACATGACTTGTTTGCAGTTCGTGTTACAAAACCAGGAGAAACCCAGACAATTGGGCATCTTCCGAGACTGATCAGCTCTACAGCTTCATTGTTTATCCAAAGAGGAGGAACAATTCAATGTACAGTGGCAGGAGGACGAAGATATTCTGTAGATTTAATTCAAGGGGGCCTAGAAGTTCCATGCACACTGAAGTTTGTTAGTCCTAACACAGCTCTTTTGAGCCGTGTAAAAAAATTACTGTTCTATTGCGAGGTTTCAACCACTCAATCTACTGATATTCCACATGAATCCACTAATGATGTTCAAGTGCCAAAGAAAATAAAAATAGAAGATAATGTGAGTACAGCAACTACCAGTACAACCACTGATACACAATGGATACTATTTGAGCATTTTATGCTAATGGAGTCGCATAAATCTACAATCGAGAATGGACACTGGCTTGAAGATGCACATATTAAC